TGTTAGTCGTGGTCTATTCATATTCATTACTAGACCTCGTAACCGTTCCACGCTAAATTGGATACTAAACAGCGTGATTTCAGATTTTGATCGGGAGTGCCAAAACCCTCGATCAAATTCGATTTATAAATGAAGAGTCAACACTCTTTAAAGACGAGATTCACCAGAAGGGACGATTAACACTAGAACTACCAAACCAGTCAAAATTACCCATTCGCAATTTCTAATAAAACTTGTAAAAAATTTACTCAACTCAATTTTTTAGAATTTATCGATATTTCTATAAGAGAATATATAAGCACTTATTTCCATTGCATTATATATTTCCTCGCGTATCTATCGTTTCAATTTCTTTGGTAGAAATAAACACACTATAATTGTAGTTCTAGTGTTAACTCCTTGCAACCCCCATTTTGCACCTAATTTTCCAATCATTCGATCGAGTCACAAGCTCTTACACTATAAATCCAGAGATAATCCTGCCTCATCAGTTTTACCTCTTAACACTTTTATTTTATCGAAATTTATGCATTCAGGTTGTAACAATTACAACCTGAAATTTATATTAATTAACCAGAAATGAATTTTTTCCCCCCAGGGGCAAACAAATGAAAATCAACACCTCTCGACGCGTTCGTAATCGACGCAAACAAATACACCGGCGACGGATCGGGATCGATCGTAAAACAGCGCGTGAAATCCTTTTTCCACCGACAAATTATTAACTGAAATCTCTCGCGAGCCGACTGTTTGTCCGCGCTCGTCGTAACCGCGAACCAACGTAACTAAAATTTCGAAATTCAACCCGACGGGTGCTTTTGTTATCTTGTTTTTCTCGAAATTCCGCGTTTCCAGAGGAACATTAATTTTCTGAATTTTGCCCCTCGATTTTCGTCGGGGTCGCTAATCAACTTCGTTGGACGTTGTTCGGGTGAAATTTTGTTAATTAATTTGTTTCAGGTCAAATTGCGATCACGTTGTAACTTATCTTGTATTCGATAATGATTTTTGTGTATAATGGGATAACAAAATTGGCAATAGAGTATGTAGACTCGTTGATAAGTAGAAAACTCGATAAATGGTCAGACACGTCGACTTGAACCGAAAAAAATGTTACTTGTTCTTTTCAATTTATTTTTTTTTCATGTCAAGTAAGGGGGTTAAATAGTGGTCTGTTTGTACTGTATAGTATAATGATTCTAATCTACAATAGAATACCAAAATGGCCGTGTAATAGAGTAAGTAAATTCGAGCTTAAGTAGAAAACTCGATGAATAGTCAGACGCGTCAACTCGAACTCAGAAAATGTTACTTTATTTTTTTTTCAATTATAATTTATTTTTTTCACGTCAAATGGAGGCCACATAGTGGTCTGCTTGTACTATATAGTATAATGATTCTAATCTACAATAGAATACCAAAATGGCCGTGTAATAGAGTACGTAAATTCGAGCTTAAGTAGAAAACTCGATGAATGGTCAGACGCGTCGACTCGAATCGAAAAAATGTTACTTGTTCCTTTCAATTTATTTTTTTTTCACGTCAAATAGGGGGGCTAAATAGTGATTTGTTCGTACTATATAGTATAATGATTCTAATCTACAATAGGATACCACAAATAGGCGTGCAACAGAGTACCTGGACTCGAGGATAAGTAGAAAACTCGATGAATGGTCAGACGAGTCGACTCGAACCGACAAAGTGTCACTCGTTCTTTTCAATTTATTCGCAAAATTCATGAATCGAGGTCACGATTGCTCTCGTGGATGCTTCCGTTAATGGGTTTCGTAGCTGGATAACGAGGAAACGACCGCAATCGACGGGATCAGCGTCGAATAATTGTCTCGTCCAACTACTGGAAAACAACTTGGACGGTTTCGTGGCCGGGACACCGACAATTTCCGGCCGTCGGTGCGGTTCGTAACATCGGAGACAAGCCCATCATCCATATTTATCAAGTAGGCTCTCTCCCGTCGCTCGTAGCCCCCGACGCTGGTTCGTCAGAACGACACGGTCGATCTTTCTACCTGTCGATCGACCGTGCACAGGTTCAATTTCCTCCAGCGTTCACCCGGGTTTCAATTTACTCTCGCCACCTACCAGGGGCCCAGCCATCCGTCGTGTTGGGTGTGAATTAATTAGCTCGTCGTAATTAATCAGCCGCGTATCCTTCGATGGTCGCAGTTAACGTCGGAACTGCAAACCTCTGTTTCGAGATGGGAATCGTTCAACCCTCGCGGTGTTTGTTTTCCCCATTCGATTAACAGGTCGCTGTCGCGCGTACGTGAGTTCATCTTTTCCCTTTCAACATCGTTCTGATACGTTTTTTGCACTGTACAATCGATAACAAATAATACAGATCGAGGGTTGTTTCAGATCTCAGATCTTCTCGTTACCCGTTCTCGATTAGAACTATTGACACGTGACGGATCGATTCCATCGCGACAGAATTTAATTCCCCGCTCTTTCATAGATTTTCGATAATGAACCGTGACGTCCAAGGGCTCGAGAGGTTTTAAATGTCGCTGTTCGCGCGCAAAGGCGGTCGAATTTCAAACGGGCCAGTCGATATCGAAGTGATTCGCGCAGAAAACCGGTGTCGCGTGATCCCGTGCCCTTCCATCCGATCGGGAGTTCGTTTTTCTCGTTTCATCGATCACATCCAACACGAAAAGTTCGTTCGTCCATTGCACGGACATCCAGGTCTAAGCGTGTCTAGTTTCCCATCCACGAAAACTAGTTATTGCAATTAACGAGTTCGAAAATTTGGTACATCGAACACAACACGGTGCAAACAGCCCTCCACCGTGCTACGTTTACGCGTATTCCACTGTCCGTTGATCCTCGAAACAGTGTTCGATTCTCGTATTGGTGTCCACCAGAACGGTGGTTTCGTGCGTCGAGGGTAAACCGCGAGTCAATTAACTCGGGTAATTAGACAGTCGGGAAGGCTAAGATTCGTCCGCGATCGAATCTGCGGCGGGTAAATAAGGGTTCCAGTAATTTTCTCCCCGTCGACCATCGAAATTTCATCGATAACCTCTAACATTAACCGAGCTATCCATTCTCCCGCGCTCATAGACCTTAATTTCTCGCGGTAATGTCACCGCTGTACAGGTCCTAGTGCCTATTATCGTTGGGTAAATATCGCCACGCGTAATTCGAGTCTGCGGAGCTGGTCTCCGGCAGAGTTTCAGACGGAAATAGGATTGCTTCATCCCCTAAGGAACGCTAAGTATCCAGGGTAGACCGAAATAGTTCTCACGATTAAAACTCTGTCTAATTCACTGTCCCAAAGCCATGACTATTCTCGTCCATTTGCGTGGTCGTGTTATTTCATCGTAGATCCACTGGATTCTTTCGGTATCGAGTTCCACCCACCGGAAGGGTCGATCTCACCCTCGTCTCGCGGCTTAGCGCGCCAAATCCGTCTCTATTTACAATAAATTGCTTCCAAAATCTTCTCCAATCGTCTGAGAATATTCTACTCTTCACGCCAGTGAATCCCCTTCGATCCAACCCCCCGAATCTTAAAAGAACATATTTATTTTACAAGTAGCGAATTGTGAATTTCCTTTACATCCGCCGGAATTATTCGTTGATTAATTATACGATAGAACTATTAACGCCCAGTAAATTCCATCGGAGGAGCTCTTTGATCCTCTCTGGTAGCGATCTCGTCCAGGAAATCGGGGGACGGTATTCGAGACAAAAACTGCGGTCTTTTATCAGACTAATGGCCCCGGGATACGTTGCTCGAACGGTTCCACGCTCTCAATGGAATTAAACGCTGTTTTATTTAGCGCGATTACCATTGGCGAGGTGGCTCCGGGACCGGATGCTGCGAACTCGAGAATCGAAGCACCTGTAGCAGCTGTTCGCGTTTACCTCTCGCGCGTTCACGACGTATATAATCGTGTCATGTGCACAACAGGGTGCTCGTGACGGATATATACGCTTCGACGACGATGTACAAGCCGGACACGCGTCTTTATCAAGGGAATCACGTTTTTTTTCTAGGTTAAGGTCTTCGACGATATTAACTCGTACGTGTATGTTTGGTATTTAAGTTATTTTGAATGTTATGTAAGAATAGTGACCACTGGGGAGTCACATTGTCAGAAAATTAGCAAAATAAACGCGTTCTCCAGCGGAAGTAAAAATGGCGACGTTGGGGGAAGAAATGCTGTACGGTCCCCAAAAGATTAACGGGTTAAGCGACGCGATCCATCATCCTCGCGCAAGGAGGACAAGAGATCAGAAATCACGGGAGAAATTACCGATCGACGCGTCTTAACGAAATCGAAGTCGTGGACATCGACGCGGGGGCCGGGAAATCCTCGAGCGAATACGCAAATTGAATAACGTCGGGGGCTCACAATTCCATTAACACACAATTTCCGCGCGAAAATCCCGCGGAGGCCGCCAAGGACGCCCGAAAGGGTCTCCGGGAGGTGGAATGAAATCCTCCTTTCCTGCCCTTGGACGAAAAACCCCGGGTCACGGAATAATCGTATAATTAATCGACGAGTTATTGCAATTTGGATTCAAAGAAAATTCACAATTCACTGTTATAAGATAAATATGGGTGATATTATGATCTTAGAGGGTAAATAAGAGTTTTCAGATTTGAGATTGGATCAGAGGGGTCCTCGAGATTTACTGGCGTTGATAATTCTATCTTATAATCAATCGACGAGTTATTGCAATTGGATACAAAGGAAATTCACAATTTACTATTATTAAATAAATATGGGTGATCGTGCAATCTTCTGTAGAGTCTTGCCACGCATCCTAGAGTGTAAATAAGAGTTATTTTAAGGTTTGGGGATCCAAGGATGGTAATTTGGGGAGTTCTCGAGGACGATGACACTGTGGAGGGTGGAATAGGCGCGGTCGCGATCGTAAATCGTCGGGGATTCCGTGCGATGGTCCCTTCCGGGCCGTCGTCGATAATATTAGCCGACATCCATGGATTAGAGAGAGTATCGCGTGCTCACCTGTCGGCTTGCGTGTCTGCAGGTTGCAGCTGCGGCACCGATTGGAGGCTCTGCTGTATTCTCTGGGCTTGGCCGCCCGTTCCCGGCGCTCTTTTCTCGCCGGTACCGATCCCCGCGTCCTTGTCGTCCATTTTCTCGCTGGAGGCCGTCTCGTTGCCGCACTTCTTCTTCTCCACCTACGACGAGACACTTGGAGATTCGAATATACCGGATATTTTATAACAATAATGCACTTTCTAACAGATATCCGTGGTCGAATGTATCGAGTCGACATCTTATGAAAAGCAAACGATTATTAAAAAGCTTTATCGTCGAGAAACTCTAGTAACTTGTTGCGACAGAGTCGTAAGCTACGGCGAGGAACTAGTTTAAAGCAGTGTTATTTATACCCGAGCTACCCAGTCAGCAACAAGTTATGATTTATGAGCGGTGTTTTCCAAGATGGATGCTGCAATTCCTCGAGAACGCGATCTAAGCGCGAAAAATTCACCGTCAAATTTTTAACAACTATTGGACTATACTTTCAACGCTGGAACAATCAAACTAGTCGAAATGATAATCTTCTGATAAGAGAATGAATAAACTTCTATCGTTTTAGTTCCTTTGGTACAAATACACTATAATTGCAGACCTAATTACTAAAATTTTCTAAGAGATCAGTTTGTTTTCACTGTTTTCGTACCGTGATAGGGTAGAGGGGGGCCTGTCGTTCCTTGGATTCCTTGGATTCCGTGGCTTCCGGTTCCGCGTGTCTCTCTTCCTCCGCCATCTTCTCTTCGGCCGCAGTGGCCCAGCGAACAACACGAAACAACAAAATGGCCACGAATACGAATCTCTGTGCACTCGATGTTCGGCTGACACGTTCGCCTAATCGCGTTCGCGCATTTTTAGGCGACTCGTTTGTCCCATCGCGATCTTTCCAACCTGTTGCCCTAGTCGGCTCGAAACGCGATCGCTGGATCTCGATTAACCTCGAACAACGTTTACCAAGCGTCGAGGACACGCGACCTGCGTATCGTGGACAGTAAACGGATCGATCGTTTCAACTATTCGATTTAAATACGAGATAACGTTGCGAGTACGGGTGAAACGAACCGATTATTCGGAGGGCAAGCTTCGAGCAAAGCTACGAAATTCTGACAATTTCTCTGTTTCAACGCGTCAGAATCGTGGAACGTCTCCCGTAAACTTTGGGCGAACTTTTCAGTCTCGTAAGTTTCGTATAAACTTTTTTTATTAAGTCTCGTTTCTCAAATATAATCCCCGAAGAATCGTCGAGCATTTAATATCCGCCATGTTACAATTAAATAAAAAAGGAACAGTTCTTTAGAATCTTTCGGACTCGATATCGTCGCCCGCTGCCCCGTTCGACGTTTCCAATTCGTTGATCGATTTTATATACAGGGTATCCCCCCCCGGACAACTGGGGCGGAAACATAATTTACCTAAGAAAGAGGAAACCCTCTGACGCATTTTTTTTAAATCGATAGCCAGGCCAGAGAAGCCTAATACAAAATATTTATTCGTTATTCCCGAATGAAATTTCCGATTCCAGTGTATTAATTTTACTGGAACGACGCGCGATATCAAACGGGTGGATTCTCTAATTTTCCGTTCCGTCGAATATTCCGCACACGATGATGGAATGTTGCGAGAGACAAAAGGGCAACGAATATTCGCTGTACCTTCCGGAGAGAACAATTTGGCGCTAGAGAATCGGTAGAGGGGGGCGTAGGGGGATGAAGGAAACCGAGTTCAAAACATTGGTTTCAATCGCGGGGAAAACAACGAGTTGTGGAAACAAGCTATCGCGTCGGAGCTGCGACATCGGATTTTCTCGTTCCCCCGCGGGATGGTCGCGAGCAATCTGCACGTCGGCCGCGGAAATCGACGGTCGCGGTTTCGCCGATTTAATTATCGTCGACGCCTATTTGCCTCCCTTCGATCGAATAGCGCCGGACGATAAGCCACCCCCTCGAACGTACGTCCAACAGTTCGATAAACGATGGACACAGAGAGCCCAAGAAACTCGAGGGACCAGAGTGTACGATGATGCAAGTGTCGTTCCCAGAAACTAGCCCCCTTAAGGGGCCTTTCTACCTTGTGGGATTAAAAAAAATCGATATTTTTTTTTTTGCATTTTCCTTTAGTATGTAGTCTCGAAAATATGTCTACCAAATATTAAATTGAAATTTGAAAAACTAACGAAGTTATAGCCTGTTGAAATGTACCGCGTGCAGGTATAACAACTGGACGTGAAACTTTAAAGCTGTTTTTCTCGAAACTACATTTTTCGGCACTGCGTGCGTGATAACTAAAAAACTATTCAAGATATCAACATCAAATTTATACAGTATCTTCAGAACTGGTCTCCCTACAGCATGAACTAGGATAATCGCGATATATGCAACACTTTTTCTTTTATTAACAAAAAAACAGCCGAATATATGAAAATATTCAGTATTTTTTCGTAAAATAGCTGCCATTTTGCCATTTTTTGTTTTTTTGAAAAGATCCTAGTTCATGCTATAACCACACTCATCTATATTAAGAATATCGTTGGTTTTAGGATTTCGAATAACTTGTTCGCAAGATATCACGTACGCAGTCGGGTGCCGTTCGTAAAAACTGTTGTTTGATGATCAACAAGAACAGCGTAATCAATAGATATTACGCGTTGCAAAAATTCGTAAATATAGCTAAATATATAATAAATGTATCTACAAAATCCGGAATTAATCGCTCTTTAATAACCCGCAAAAAAAAAATCACAAAGAAACACGTATTTTTCATGCCTACAAGGTAGAATGGCCCCTTAAGGGGGGACCTCTATGTAGAAATCCGAAATTAAGCCGATTTTCAAGAATTATTTCGAAGGATAAAGAATTAATAAATATTTCTAAGGTTTTGAGGACTATTTAGAATATACTTCAATTTCATTTTGTAATTTTTTTTGTTCAAATAACATGCAAAATGGCGGAGATACAGCACGATTTGCTAGAATATTAAGCTTTTTGCTCCGAGGTCTGCCATCTTTCCAATTTTTAATTTTCTTTCAATATCTTCGATTCATCCATTTACTATTGTTATATACTAATCATATTTCGTTGATTGGCAGATTCGGATAATAAAAACCGACGTGTACACCGTTTTAGAAGACGTCTTGCGACGCTTCTAGCAAATCATCCTGTATCACCGCCATTTTGCATTTTATTTGAACAAAAAAAATTGCAAAATGAAATTGAAGTATATTCTAAATAGTCCTCGAAACCTTGCAAATATTTATTAATTCTTTATCCTTCGAAATAATTAAATTAATTAAATAATAACCCATTTTACCTTGTAGGCACGAAAAATACTTGTGATTTTTTTTTGCGAGCTATCAAAGAGCCATTAATTCCGGGTTTTGTAGATACACTTAGTATATATTTAGCTATATTTACGAATTTTTGCAACGCATAATATCTATTAATTACGCTGTTTTTGTCGATCAACGAACAACAGTTTTTACGAACGGCGCCCGACTGCGTATGTTATTCGAAATCCAAAAACCAACGATATTCTTAATATAGATGAGTGTGGTTATAGCTTGAATTAAAATCTTTTCAAAAAAACAAAAAATGGCAAAATGGTAGCCAATTTTACCAAAAAATACTGAATATTTTCATATATTCGGCTGTTTTTTTGTTAATAAAAGGAAAAATATTGCATATATCGCGATTATCCTAGTTCGTGCTATAGGGAGACCAGTTCTAAAGATACTGTATAAATTTCATGTTGATATCTCGAATAGTTTTTTTTTGTTATCACATACGCAGCGCCGAAAAATATGGTACATTTCAGCAGGCTATAACTTCGTTAGTTTTTCAGAATTTCACTTTAATATTTGGTAGACATATTTTCGAGACTACATACTAAAAGTTAATGCAAAAAAGAATTCAATTTTTTTAAATCCCACAAAGTAGAAAGACAACTTAAAGTTTTACGTTCAGTTATACCTGCGCGTGGTACATTTCAGCAAGCTATAATTTCGTTAGTTTTCAGAATTTCAATTTAATGTTTGGTAGACATATTTTCGAGACTACATACTAAAAGTTAATGCAAAAAAGAATTCAATTTTTTTAAATCCCACAAAGTAGAAAGACAACTTAAAGTTTTACGTTCAGTTATACCTGCGCGTGGTACATTTCAGCAAGCTATAATTTCGTTAGTTTTCAGAATTTCAATTTAATGTTTGGTAGACATATTTTCGAGACTACATACTAAAAGTTAATGCAAAAGAGAATTCATTTTTTTTAAATCCCACAAAGTAGAAAGGCCCCTTAATGGGGAGGATCGAAACGACAGAAACGGGGTAGATCAACAGGTAGATCACGAAGCTTCAGCGCTGGAAATCTTTTAAATATCGGGAACTCTATCGAACGTAGCAGGGAAGGTTAATTTTTTAATTAAACACATAACACGAAGAGCGAGAAAATAATACAGATTTTAGATACTATCGTTTATATTTAAATTTATTATCTAGAACTTCAAAGTTCACTCTAAAATTACCGATAACTGTAGTGTATTTATTTGTAACAGAGAAATTAAGACGTATAGTGCAGTGGAAATAGTTCTAGCGTAAAATAATATAAAGTGAAGGGAACAGAAGAAAAGGTATACTTCTACCAAATCCTCGAGTATCAATCCTCGAACCTGAACTGCTAGCTTTTTGCCTCCCCAGGGGGAGAACAAACGATGATCTAAGGGTAAGGCTAACCCATCGATCGGACTCGAGATACTGTCTGAAAAATGTCAAGGTATATATCGTGGCCATGAAATTAAATTTCGTCGAAACGACGAAATCTCTGGATAAAGACGAGGGGATGAAAGGAATAAAGGACGTTCGAGGGTTTTTACGGTGGCCATTGGCGAAACCGTTTGTTTAGATATGGCGGTAGCGAGCGGCGCGATTCTGTAGAGTATTTTCGAGTAACCAGGAACACCGATGGCAGCCGTGTAATTAAAAACCCATTTGGGCGGCTCGTTTGAGTTCGACCTGTTCCGAGAACAAACTTCCCTCCCCCTTGAAACCTCTCTGTTTGATTGCAAAAAGAGAAACAGCAGCTCGAACGGTTGCGAGATTGGTTCGCGCGTTATCGCGAAACGAAGAACAATCGGAGAGGGAAAAGAAAACGGTGGATGTCGGGGAAATTGGCCCAAGGTCGAGAAATTTGTTTCCAACGAGAATTAATGGGCAGGGTTGATCGGAATCGTTCTCGACGAAAGAACAGGAGTCCCACGTCTATTTTCCAAAGAGTAACTCGAAGATCTCGAAGGGGGAATAGGACCAAGAAACAAACGCGATTAAACAAGAACACGCTGATAACTATCCAATTATAGGAGACTACGGTGCCTTGGAGGTTCGGTTATCCAGCTCCAGGCATCGAAGTTACAAAGCAAAACTGTAATCATGCGTCGGATCGGGTCGAAAAATCTGCTACCCGGTAATTGTAACTTAATTACCCGACTCGTCTAGTGGTTTCGAGGGACGCGAATGATTAACCGACCGTATACACGGGGACGTGTTTACCTGACAATCGGTTAATCAAGATACGCTTTGTATCGGATTACAGCCGATGGTATTACGTGTACTTGCGCAAAGGACAATGTAGTAATGGCTTATAAATAGCGTAGTTTGCCGATGGGCTTGCGCAACGATCCCGTTCCTCGTAATCGTACGACAAAATATACAGAATTCTCAATTTATTTGCTTGTCGTCTTTTCGACGAAAGCAGAGAGCATTTCGTCGGATTGCTACCTCCAGAGGAAAGAATTGGCGAAAGACTGAAGAGAAGGTGGCCCAATCGACCCTAGGCGGGGCTTATTGTCGAAAAATTGATTCAGCCCGGGACAGAGAAACATAAACGAGGGTCTGTCGCGTGTATCCCTAACGCGGATCGATGCAAGAAGCGAGGCAACAATCTAATTTACGCAGAGCCGCTCGAAACGCGGGGGATTTATCACGGAACACGACGAATTCCATCCTGTACACGGAGGGGGGGCTGACGTATGAAAATAAATTCCAGCTGTCGCGAAATTTTCAACGGGTAATCCGTCCCGGAGCCAGGATTTCATAATTTTCGCGTGTTTCCGGCGACTTGTTTCGCCGTGCGAATTAGAACGAACGGATTATAGAATTTCAACCGGACGTCGCGTCGAGCTGTAGACTTTCCCGATACCGTTTCGCGTTAATAACGAAAATTTCAACTGTAATTTTTGTACACGTGTCGTATTACGAGCCTCCGGAATATTGTACTAATCAGAAAGCTGATGATTAGACCGCGGATCTTTATGCAAATTCACATTTTTATTAATAGAATTAATGAAATCAGAGCTAAATATAATAATTCGTATCTTACTTTAAGTATTAGATTAAAATTTCCCATAAATGCATAAACATCCGCAGTCTACTGATGGATAAACTCGAGTCATGGAAACTTTGGTGTCACAAACAAAGCCACACAAGTAAGTTTTCCAGCGATTAATAGTAAAAAAAAATGTTAATATAAATAATTTATTACAACGAATTAATGAATAAACTCCTGCAGTGACTAACGTTGAAGAATGATCGGACATCTAATGAAAAAAATATTGATTTTAACAATAATTTTAAAATGGACGATAGCACGTATCCCTGAGATTCGTAATGGTTCCGATTTTCGTGTACCATTATTTTTTTAAGGGTAGTTTCCCCTTGTAGGAGGGGCTACTAGAAACCCTTCGTGTCTACAGGATGATAAATTATTCCCAGCGAGAACGAAATAAATTTCTGGGGCCCCCGGCGTTCGTAGTTTTCGTTTTCGAATTCCATAAGCCGTCTCCCCCCGACCTCATCCATGTTTCATGAGCGTCTTCTGGCAGGAACAACGAGACGCTTCCTGCAGCGACATCGACGTCGCTGGAACACTGGGGTTATCGATGCACAACGTGTACGCCCCCGTCCACTTTGCATACGCGTCTTCTCTGTTTTGCTCGGGTCAAGCGATCCTGCCGCGGGTACGTCAAACTGCTTGTCGATAAACGGACGTCTCACGGTTGTTCTATCGGTGAGAATGATTCCGTTTTCGATCCGTTGA